TTGGAGACCTGGATTCGGTTCTTCTTCGGAGAATCGCCGGCGATGTTGACGGTGGCGACTCCCTCTGTGATTTCCTCCATCTTTTATCAATTGGGGTTGACACAAATTGGTTGAATTTACCTAATTTTGTGAGCTTTTATGCAGAGAGACTTTCCAATTTTGTGTTGCTGAGATCTTTACTGCGGCATACGTCGAGTATGGTCCATTTTTTCCTTTTTTTTTTTTTAACAAATTTTGTGAGCTTATTATTTATTTCATTTCGCCATTTATCAACAATTTAAAATTAAAAATAAAAAAATAAATTATTATTATATTACCAACAAAATATTATAAGTATACTCATATGTTTTAAAAAATAAAATATTATTATATATTACCAACAAAAAATGTTATTAGTATACTCATATGTTTTGAATTATCAACTATAATTAAATAATATTTCATCCATTACATTACAACCTTTAATTACAACATTTTTGTATTATATATATTTACAAACTAAAAAGTAACTCACTTTGTTTTTCTTTTTCTTTTTTTCACAAGTATTTTTTCACCGTTTCAACACTTCGAAACTATTTTCTATTACAATTTCTATATCAAATGGTAACTATAAAAAGTAAGGATCTAAACAGGTTGAGTCGAACTCAAACTTATGATACTCGAATTCGGCTCGAGCTTTTATAAAGTCGACAGTAAACAAGTTCAAGTTCAACTCGTTCATTTTAAATGACAGTAGAGTTGCAATCGCGAGCCGCTCGAGCCAAAATTCGATTCGAGCTCGAGTTTGACCGAGCTCGAGCCCATATTTTGCACTGTCAAACGGCTCGAAATATACGTGAAGTTACTAAAATATCCCTTATATATTAGCATAGGTGCTTAATGGTAATTTTACTTTTCCACTTAAAAAGTTTCAAGTTGAACTCGAGCCGAGCTCGAGCTCAAGCAACTAAAAAAAAAAAAATCAATCATGCTCGATAAGGCCAATGTTGACTCGGCTCGTTTGCAGCAAATTATATCTACTACATTTGAAAGCCCAAATGAAATCAAGCCATTCACATAACCAACACTTCTTACAGTGATAAATTCATTACACTCTGAGAAAATCAGTACTAAGTACGGTGATCATCACTCTCCTCCCACTGCATTATATTATATGATCAAGGTTCCTCAAAAAACACAGTCTGAATATCAATTATGTCAGTAACAAGAAAAGGCCTAAAAAGTAAAAACTTCCTAAAAGAGAGCAACAAATTAGGTTGGGCACTTCAAAGTTCATACTGTGGCAAAACATTCAATCAAACATAAAATGAAAAAGAAAGCAAGAAAAATAAGCGAAAAGCCGAAAACACAGCCCCAGAAAACCACACAAATTCGAGCTTAATAAACCGCATTCGTCAAAATACTTACCAGCATTCCCACACCAAAGCCACGCACACTTAAAATTTACCGAGCCTAAGGTCGACAAGAGGTTTTTCCCCATCCAAGCCTCACAACAAGCCTTACTCCCAACCGCCACCCTTACCACCCCAAGTGCGTTCATTATCGTACGATGTACCAAAATCCGGGAGATTCATGCCAACAGCATAAGGATCGTCATAACCTGATTCATTGTGGGCCCCACCCGTGTATCCATATTTACGGCCACTGCCATTATGAGTCTCGCGGCCCGCCTCAGCATACTCGACGAGCCACGAAGGGACTTTCTGCTTTGCCTCCCGCATCAAGTTGACGAGTGGTTTAGCAAGAGGAATATTCTTCTCGGAGAAAAAAGCAGTCGCCAGGCCGGATTTTCCTGCCCGGCCGGTCCTTCCAATCCGGTGGACGTAATCTTCTATGGACCGTGGCAAGTCGAAGTTTATGACGTGTGCCACGTGCGGAATGTCGAGTCCCCGTGCGGCCACATCGGTAGCTACCAGAATTGGGGTTCGACCGGTTCTGAAAGATTTCAAAGCATTTTCTCTCTCCTGCACTTTCGGAAAAATGAAAGAACTCAAAGCCTCGAATTTTTTTTTTATTGTTTTAATTATGAAATGTAGTATTCACATTCATCACAAATTGCAAGCGATAGAGGGCTCACAACAGCCACTTCATTTCGTCTTGTATGGCATGGAGAAAGAAAATTAAAGAAATTATGTCTCCGATGATTCATTTTAAATGTGTGGTACAATTTGAAATGTGTAAAATTGTAAATTTGTAATTGGTTGGAGACGAGAGATATAACTTAAATAAATATTGAAATATATGATAGAAGTTGTTTAGAAGGACTTCCACGACTTCTACATCTAGAAAAGACTTCTAGACATTTTTCTACGCCAGATAGAAGAGCAATTCACTGACCATTGGAGATGACAATGATTCGAGTTCAGCTTGGGTGGAATTTTCTGAACCGACAGTTATTTCGGTACAGAGTAGCAATTGTAAAGAGCTCGGTTATACTTAGAAAATATAAGACGACACATACCTCAACACATTCAAGCAACAGATAACACAAAGCAATTATAATTTTTTTTTTTTTTTCAAACACTTGTTCTAAATCAGAAGAGCCATTAACCGAGTGCAGCAAAAAGGAAAGCCGAACTAACCATTTGTAGTTTGTCACCATGGATAGCAGCAGCAGAGAAGCGTTTTGTGTTCAGCCAGCGCTCGAGAGCATCTACTCCTTTTTTCGTCTCCACAAAGACTAAAGTCAAAGCATTCTGGACCACAGAAATATATCAGAACCATTCAACCGAACAGCCATGGAAAAAAAAGACATGTAAGAACGTAGTAATAGTGGAGAAACAATGTGCATCACCTTAGCAGGGGCACTATTGGTCTTTTGGCAACGAAGAATATCAACCAAATGGTCCCGTTTGTTTGTCTCATCAACAAACTCAACTCTCTGAGCAATGAGATCGGTGCTCGATCCGACTTTTCCAGCAGCAAGAAAGATGTAGTTCGTGAGAAAATCCGATGCAAGCCTCTGCAACAGAGTGAAATCGTACAATTTACTTCACACGTGCTTTTTCTGACCGTCAGTCCCAAAAACAGAAAGGAAAAAAAATGGAAGAAAAATTGCATAAAATGCTAACACTGAGAAAGAAGTACATATTGAATGACAATTGACAGGGAATGAGCTAATAATGAAAAAATAAAAAATAAAAAAAAAAACCCGTATTTCATCTGGAAATGTGGCACTGAAAAGCATTGTCTGCCTCGAGCCCGGCGGGGGCATCTCCATTTGCTGAACAATCTTGCGGACTTGGGGCTCGAAGCCCATGTCGAGCATCCGGTCAGCCTCGTCCAGTGCCAAGTACTTAACGTTTCTAAGGGATACTCTTCCTCTTTCTATCAGATCCACTAAGCGGCCTGGTGTCGCAACCAAGATTTCAACTCCCATTTCGAGTTTTCGCAACTACAGAGGCAGAAAAATAAAATTTTGAGAATAGTTCTCAGTGAAAGGTAAGAGATAATGTATCATGGAAATCAGTACCTTAATAATTGGAATTATAGTATCATACTGGTCTTTTCACATTATTTAACTTATTTTATATGATAAGAATGTTCGATGATGTTTACAATAACCACCATACGTGATAATTGTGTTTCGAATAAATCATAACCTCGAGTCTGGTAAAGAGTTGTTCGACAAGCGAATGGATAGAGCAATGGAAAATTTTCACTTACTTGTAGTTTCAAATGATACATTTTAACTCACTGTAATGTACAATCACACTCTCAAAATCCATCTCATTTTTCTTAACGAGTCTTCCGACATTAATAACCACCAAGAAGGGGGAATAAAGAGCAAAGAAAAGGTCAACTGATAATTCGTTGATAATATCTTAATGAAAAATCTACAATAATATGTTACGATTATAATAAACACAACGGCCAGAGTCCGAGGATACTAAAAAACATAAGATGCTATAAGTTTTTATGCACATTTTCATAAGAAACATATGACCAACAAATTATATGATGAATCTTAAGTTCTAAAAGGAAATCTACAAGCAAAAACTTTATGCTGCTTCGGTTATAATTACACAATAACTGCATTTTTCATTGACATCTTCAAAGACAACATCTGTTTTACAAGAAGAACAAGTAGGAACTAACAAATTCACAGGATATAAAACAATCGTATTTACATGTATTTTTCAATATTATCAAAGGGAAATGCTGCGGTCCCGTTACGGGACCATTCCGTCGGGGTTTGTAACCGTTGGATCATTATATAATCGTCGAGGATAGTTGATCTAACGGTTACAAACCCCGAAAGAATGGTTCCGTAACGAGACGGTAGCATCTGCCATTATCAAAATGGGCAATAGCACCAATTTCAAACCTGTTGGAACATAGGAGCCCCACCATAAACAGCCACAACTCTGACTCCAGTTTGATATGAGAACTTGGTGGCCTCATCGTGTATCTATAAATGAAGAAACAACAACAAAAATCATCAAGGCTAGACATGAACTGAACGCCAAACTTAAATTTATAAGGATGTCCATGCAAGTAAACATTATTTCTAAAACTTTTCTCAATTGATTGACCACTCTTGATCCGGGTCTGACCCGTTCAAAGAACCGCTGAACAAGAAATTGACCCGTTGAAAATGAGAGATGAACACAGAAAGCTCATAGAAAATACAGCTTTCAAAAATAGAAGATGAACCAGAGTAAAAACTCGAAACACCAACTTTTTACTGAAAAAACACACACACACACACACACACATACACACACACATTTATTAAGCACCAGAACCTGACAAGCGAGCTCTCGGGTCGGAGCAAGTATCAGGGACAAAGGGGAAGCCAAATGGGTAGGGCCCACTCGACCACCGTTGAGGGTCTTGCCGTGCTCTTTATCCAGCATAACGCCGTTTATAATGGGGAAGCAAAACGCCGCCGTTTTTCCGGAACCCGTCTGGGCGCACGCCATCAGATCCCTCCCGGCCATCGCCGCCGGGATCGCGTGCCTCTGTATGGGGGTGGGGCTCACGTACCTACACCTCCTAATGTTGTCGATCAGAGCCTTTACGGGGAAGCCCATCTCCAGAAACGACGCCGCCGGCGGGGGAATGTCGGCGCCGGTCGCCTCCACCGGGGTGTCGTCGTGAGCGGAGGCGTTCTTCGTCTCCGGCTCGGCATCCTCCACGTGCTTTGAGGTGATCTCGAGGTCTTCGAGCTTCCGGGAGATGTCAGGCTGCCCGGAGGTGTTGGGCTGCGGCCGGCGACGGCCGGCGTGGAGGGGGGGTACGGTGACGGTGATTTCCGGCTGGAGGCGAGCGTGGGGCGGGAGGTATGGGGATCGGTTGCGCGGCGGGGGCCGGGAGGCGGCGGCGCCGGAGCCGGTGAACCACGGCTGCGACATGGTTGTGGAGAGCGTGGAGAGAATGAAACTGAAACTGAAAAATAAAAATAAATCAGTCACTCTTTCTGATATTTTGGTCTCTGAAGAGAGTCTGAAACACAGGAGGTTTTTCGTGAGTAGTGAGTAAAGCTGCAAAAAGGGAATAAAAAAACAACTGATGATTTTTATGTTTTTATTTTGATTTTACTTGAAAATTTGATAAAACAGTACGAAAAAAATCGACATGAAAACAAGAGATACAGCCATACAGGCTAATTATGGAATTTCGATCTGCGTCTCGTTATAGAATCATTTTGTCAAAGTTTTTTTAAATTGTTGGATTATCATGTAACTGTCGGGATTACACGATTAGTTGATTTAACGGTTACAAGTCAAGACGGAATGGTTCAGAGACCGTAGCATCTCTCAAATAAAAATATTTTGTAATGCTTTTAAATGTCATATTTTTGTTTCTAATTATATGAAGATTTTTGTATAAGTTAGTAATTAGATGGGTTAATTCCTCATTTTTTTCAATGAACATATATATATTGATGTTCATATGTATCATACTTTTTTCTATTATTTTTTATACTATGATATTTCAATCTAAAAATATACAAATATATTGAAAAAGTTTTAATGATTTAATATTGGCCTAACACTAGTAGTTATATTTTTTTAAAATAAAATAGGTATTTAAATTGAGAAAGGACGTTATTTTATTTACAATAATATTGTTTCTTAAAATAAGTCATAAAATAATATATATTTATTGAAAAATATAACTATTTAATAGTATTAATAATGTCTAGCAAGTAGCAAGTAACCTGCAATTATAAATATATTGGCATATTTTTTCAAATTTCACTTTTCACACATTTGAGGACAGACAGTACAGTGAATGAGTGGGTAAAGTAAATTGTACAAATAGTAACTTTAACTATATTTTTATGGTGATGATGGTAAAGTTTGGAAAGTTGACAGGCGCCTTGTATGGGCGGATTATGATTCCAATAAATAATAATAAAATTTTTATAAATGTGCGTCTTGGAGAGAAAATAAATGAGGTTTTATTTATTGATTAACTAGCAATTATATAGATATATATTAATTTTAAAAATATTTTTTTTAACAAATATATGTGTAGTACACGTATATTGTACTAGTAGGACCACTATTCCTTTTAAAAAATATGATAATACAAAAAAATCATAGAATAATGTTTCCGAAACTAATAATTACATCAACTATATATAACTTGATGTACTGATGGATGTACCAAATGTATTTATCATAGTACGCGTATAAATATATCGTTTATCTAGAAATTGATGTATTAATACATGTTCGAAATGTATTTATTATATAACACGTGTTAAATACACATTAGTGAATAATTATAAACTATTACGCGTATAATTAGTTAAAGAATTCATGCTGAAAATATTAAAAAAAAATGTAAGAGATTATTTATTTTTATATAATTTTAAATACTTTTTTTTAAAGAAAATGCAGTATTATTTATATTCAAAATTTACTTGTACGATCAGTCGTATTATATTATAATATTTTTTATAATATATAAGGAATTTATAGATTTTTTTTAATCGATGTATAGTTTTATTAATTTCCAATTAATATTAATAGGTGATTTAATTTTTTAAGATAAATAAATTACTTATTTACTTTATATATATAATAAAAATAAAGATTCATCATAAGATGATTATTTTGATATATTATATATACAAATTTGATAACAAATACAAGAGTAATTAACTTTTAAAAGGCTTATAAATCCAGATCTCATGACTAATTCGAATAATATAATACAGAGCTGATAAAAAAATTCATAAAATTAAAAAAGAAATATAAAACTTCGGTTATTATTCATATTTAAAATGACACTTATATATAATTATAATTAAATTTTTTAGGTCATTACTTTTAAGTCATATTATATAATGAACATAATAGGAAAAAACTATTTAACTGATATATAATTTTATTATTTTCCAGTTAATATGGATATATCAGTTAACTTTTATTATAAAGCCATATACATATTTATTTTTATATACAAGATTGAAGTTCATTATGAGATGATTAATTTGATCTCGTATAATTTAAATAAAACGAAAGTTATTAATATTTTATTATAAATTTACATGTCATACTGAAGTCTAAATCTACTTGTACTACTTAAATTAAACACATAGAATGAAACACCAGAAATGGACACATAACCAAATCTACTTGTACTACTTAAATTAAACACATAGAATGAAACACCAGAGTTGGACACATCAGTTTTGCTATGAAGCCAACAATTGGCTCCATAGTGGAGCCAACCTTCTATATACAATGGAATCAACCGTTGGCTCCATAGCAAAATCGTTGGACACCGAAAACACCTAAAATCAACACATTGAATCGGGACATTATATAGATAAATGGGAATTACTATAAATACAACATTGGTTTATTTGTGATAGAGCCCTCGTAACTAGCACGAAATTCTCATGTGATTTTCAGATTTTTCAAGTACTATCCAGTAGCCCTCTCTACGAAAATTAAAGGAATAAACATAGCTAATCGTAGGGGGGAAGGGAGGGGAGAAGCAACAGTAGCCATGTAGAAATTAACAAACTTTGAAGCCCAATCGAGTGGCTTTAAAAACATCCAGCAAAACATGGTTTATAACGTACAAACAACATTTTGTAGAGCAAAAAGTTCCAGTACTTAGCTGTATTTCTTCGCACAAAATGGTACAACACAAAGTAAAGCCTATACTGACATGGTATGAGGTTTATATAAGTCCCTTCAAAGCATCCAATAAAATTGGAACGATGCAGAGAAGATTAACGTGCCATAAACTGAGAAAATAGCATGAGGGATTCTAAGATGGAGAAATACAGTAAACGAATACGAATATCCGGGACTTCATAAATGAGATTTTGAGAAATACATCTGTGCCAATGCAAAACATTTGTCCTTTCGCTTCTTGTATTCGTTGTACCGCAGGAAAAAGTAACCTAAATAGTCAAAATTGATCGGTGACATCTTCGCCTGCATTAAACAAAGCCAAAAAATTAAAATAAAAAATAAAATAACAACAAAAGGCTTATCATGTGATTTGCCTAATCCCACAGTTGGGGAAAATCGGAGTACCTGGATTAATGCCCATAATGCCCAATACAGGTGTGAAGCCAGCATATAAGCATTCGTCTCGGCATAGATGGCTTCAAGGTCTTCATCAGAAACCTGCCAAATTAAAATAGTCAGGTTGCACATAAGCAAAAGTTCCACGTAAAATTACCTGAGTTAATTTACTTGAAAGTTCTATGTTAATGTGATAACACTGGAGCTAATCATTTTTTAGTACGTGAACTCAAAGCTTTCATGTATACTGTAACTAATAAAGCAAAACATCTAAAATAAATACATTTAAAGCTCACAAGTATATATGAAAAAAACAATATACTTCGTCATTAAACTTCGCATTTCATTAAATAAAGTACTCTGCAAATTATTAATCATTCATGAATCAGGTCGATGTATGCTTCCTAAAAAATGGTTAATTACCTCAAAAGATTCTTAGTTTAAATTTTAGATTGTTAATTCATGATGGTTTGTGTATAAAACATCATGCAATTTTAAATATTTTGCAGTTTAATTTACCAATTTTAACAAATATTTGGCTGGAATATGTTGATGACTTCTAAATCACTAGTGAAGAGATTTCTTTACAAGGGTCGATGGAGATGGTTTCAAGTACCAAAAGTTTTTCGAATTGACGTCAGTTCATACAACTACACATGGAACACGAATACATACCTCGTCTGGTTTCTCTGGTCTTAAATAGTGCCTGAAGAAGTAGTATTGTTCATCTTTGCCCGGGCACCTGCAGCAGAATCTTATCATAAATATAGAAGGATAAATAAACCACCTTAGGACATATTTATATGAGGAAGAAGACATACATGCTATAATCACAATCATAGCCAGCATATTCATTGAAGTGATTGCCAATGTCGAAACCCCGAAAATTGTAGGATCCATACTCAAAGTCGATAAAGTAAAGCTTATCTGAAAATATTCCAGCGACATTAGGGGATTAACATACGCAAGATCAAATGAAATAATGAAAGTTGCTAAGAATAGCTTGTATGCAGCTATTAATACAATTTTTTTTTATTTCCAACAAATGAAGGAAGTCTCTTTTTGAGCTTCCACAAACTTTCTTCAATATGCCAGTAGCTTTACATGTCCAAATAATATATACATGGCATTGAGCAACCCAGTTGGAATGGAACTCCGGAAACTGTCCTAGGGAAGTGTGTGTATATATATATATAGAGAGAGAGAGAGGCATGATACCTTCCACATCATCCACCATCAAGTTCCCAGAAAGCAAATCATTGTGAGAATACACAATAGGAGCATTAAAACGATCTGTCATTACCTGTATTCCATAAAACAATAATTTTTACATTAAAATAGTTTTTCACCAACCAAATGAACAGCAAAGTAACCAGTACAAAAGTCTCCATGTTGAATAATACAACATGGCATTCCACACTCTTCTATTGCTAATAACCAACACTTTTCTTTGCGTTGTCTTTTTTCCCCTAAGAATACAAAGAAGAAAAAAAAATACCAAAAACAGAGGCAAAAGTAAAAAAGAAACACCATATCTGCGTTTCACAAATCAATAACTAATACATGGGGAAACAAACTTACTAGTACTATGACGTGTACTGATTTGTTATTTTAATGGTAAATTGATATTGGGTCATTGGCAAATACTGAATAAATAAAACTTGATTGGTAAGCATTATATGTAAATAATCTTTCTTATGAAAAGGCAGGCAAGACAACAAGTAGGAAGAAAAAGCAACATAATGACATAAACAAATAGCAGACAACATTATTGTCCATATTCATGATGTTATCACGGATGAATAGAGAAATAAAACTAGTCAGAGTGTGGAGACAACAAAGCTTGTCTACAATTGTATAACACAGAACAACATGCCATAATCTTAGCTTCTAAATAAGTACCAAGGCGCTCTTCTCGACAAAAAAATATAAATATGCCATGCAAATCGTAATGAAGACATGAAACAGACGATAACCTTGAGTTCAGAAACTTCTTTCTTTATTTCTTCAAATGAAACCATTTCATACTTCTTTTGCTTCTCACTATCGTCAAACTTGAGGCTTGATGCTACATGAAATGGAATATTAGATCTGATATGAGATAATAACGTTTACTATTAAGTCTTGCACAAGTTACATGAGGCGTCAGTCTTTTAACTCCTAGAAAGATTATCATACTACACCTCTGTCAAAGAACTTCTGAATATCTTTCCAAAGTTGGGGTTCTCTGGAACTAGGAATTTCCACCCCATGAAATTTTCGTAGTTGTTTAGCAATTTCTGCCACTAGCTTTGGTTGTCGCATGTCTGTTAAGAAATGAAACAAAACAAAGGAAGTGTTTCTTAACCTGATCACAAATGAGCCAATGAAACATTGTCTTAAGTTCAAATTGGTAAAAGAGAAGACGCTAACAGATGTTGGGAACTTTGTAACTCGCAGACTATGGACTCGAGAAAGAATGATTAATGATTGCAGGAAATACAGATAAGATTGTCTATGAGTAGATCAATGCATTGAGAAGAAAACAACCACTTCCTAAACATGTTAGCTTCCAAATGATTACCAGATGGAGTAAGTGTACGAGCATTAATGAATGACTGCACCATGCCATTCCCAAAAACTCCCAGTAACTTGGCACCAAATCCTGCAGCAGAGAGGTATGGGATAGCCTAAACACAACATGCAGTATTTATGTTAAATCATAACTCGGAGAATGTTCAACAGATCTCCACAACACATCTGAATTTAGACTACCATTAGCATATGATCACTAAGCAAGTGCTATATGTTCACAAACTGCAAATGCGATGAACATAAGACATTAGAAAAACCCAATGATGTACCTGCAGCTCCCTTTCGCGATCGATCACATATTCAGTATTTGGTCCATATAATCGAACTGTCATACTCACATCATTCCCATTGTTCTCTCTCACAGATACCTTGAGTACTGTTACAATAAAAGGCAACATTAGCGCTTGCCACTGGGGCATGGGGAAGACAGCAAACAGCCTCTGCTACGGAAGATACCCTATCCATTAATACTTTAACGAAGGAAATGAAAAATACAAAACAAAAGATAGAAATGTAATTCTTTATGGAAGAAGAGAGACGCACACAGGTTCGTGATTCCACCGGATACTGTTTCAAGGGAGAAATTTGATTCCTCCAAATTCAACCATTGCTTGAATAGATCTTTGCATAGCTCCCTGAAAATATCACGCATACAAAAAAGTTTCTCAAAACAACATCCGTTTGAAGTTAACAATCACCAGTAGGGAATAGAGTTAATGTTTTCAATTTGACGGTGACATATAAGGATAAAGAAACAAAAGAACTTGTGAAAGGTGAATACATTGGTTTTAATAAGTTTATAGCCCATACCCAATTAGCTTAAGTTTGTTAAATGCTCCAATCTAAATATTGTAAGAGTAACGACATTCTTATATCTTCAATATTATCCATTCATATACAGTTTCAAAGGACACACAGTGGCCAAAGATTTCTAACCATTGGAAAATGCACTCATACCTTACCAGTATGAGCCACATAGAACAAGAAACTTTACAAAATATTAGTAACTTTTATCAGAAACAGATATTCAGCAACACCAGATGGACCCAACCACTTTTCAGAAACTTCCATAACTCATTTCAGCACAAGTTCAGTAATAATCTCAACAAATCATGAACACGAAATAAACGCAAATCGGATATTGCAATAGGGAAATGGAGAAATCTAATGCATAGCTGTAGCAGGACAACATAACGGTTCGCCAAAAGGAGAAAGGCAACATTTGAGAATACCCTGTAATACAAATACAAATTTCGGAACAAAGCTCGTCTTCCCCACAACTCAATGTTAGCTAGGTAACAGTAATCATACATAGCTATCCATTTGTAACAAAACTCATCCATCAGCACCACTAGCTCACTGTTTGCACAAGCTCAACTGCTCAAGATAATTACACCACCCACGAAACCTCAATCCCCCCCAAAAAATTTTGCCCAAGTCACAAAAACATTCATCAGAGCACTAAAATTCCTCACATACATATGCCTCGAAATAACAACAATAGCTCAATCAATTAAAACGGTATTTTCCAAATGAGGTAAGAAATGAATAAACAAACCATAAGAACAAAGGTAAAAAAAGAGAGAATACTGACACGATGAAAGGCTTCATATCGGTGAGGGAGAGAGAGTGGTCGACGGTGACGGAGGACGACGGAATCTCGGAGCTGTGACTCTCCGCCACCTCCGTCGCGTCCCAAATCTTCTCCGATGCCCCCATTTCTTCCTTTTATTTTTTTCTGATTTATAACTCAAACAAATAGAGTAGTTACGTTACACTTAAATCTGCAAGTTATGATATAGGGAAATGCTGAGGTCGGAATCATTCCGTCGAGATTTATAATCGTTAGATCATTATGTAATCATTAGAGATAGTTGATCTAACGGTTACAAATCCCGATCAGATGGTTTCATAACAGAATCGTAGCATCTTTCTATGATATATGGCTGATGGTGACTTCGGATTAATTGACGAAAATACCCTTTTCCCCCAACAAATTTGGCAAGCATTTTCCACGCGAATTTCGTGCACGCAATTTGCTGGGATGAATTTGATGTGCACCAAATGATAAATGATTCAGCTAAAAATCAATGTTTTCAAACCAACTTTATTTCGGGCCGCAAATAAATCGAGCCGCTCGAGTCAAAGCTCGACTCGAACTCGAGTTTGATCGAACTCGGTTTAAAGTCAATGTTCGACTCGTTTGCTGCCCTATTTCAAATTACCAGATTAATTAATTTGCATTGAGTGATCGATTTAAGAAAATAATAAATAAAATTGTATATATGCTACTTTATCTTATAAATATACATAATGACAACACAAAATTAATGATTTAACTTTAAATAGTATACTTTAAAGTCAGTAATAAAATTGTATCTTGACATAAATTTCTATCATATAAATATAAAAATATAATTTTATTTTTTAAAAATAAAATGACCCGATCAAAATTGAACGGGTTACGATCGGTTTGACCGGGTTGTTTGTCGAGCAGTCAAAAAGATCCGGATCGGTTCCAAGTTTGGGTCGACCGAGTTTCATATATACCCATCGAATTGGTTTGAGCCAATTAAACATCGTCTAAATTTGAAAGAATAATTAGATTAAGCTAATGAAAATGATGAATTATTCAAATTAGGTGGATGACCGCAACTGGCTTTCGTATGTAATTAAGGCAAGGGCAGACTTTTCAATAGTTTTGACTTCTCTAGTTAACTAGTACAACATCGTGTATTACACGAGTACTTGTTAAAAAATTATTCTTAAATTTTAAAATTAATGAAAAAACTATATTAAATTTAGTTTACTTTTTTTAAAACAATAAATTACTATATATTTTATAAGGATATGTGTTACTAATGACTTACATGTGTCATATTATATTAGTTTTTATAACTTATATCATATAACTACTTGAAATATAAATATATTAGTTGATAAATAATTTAATTTTTCTAATTAATATTAAAAATAATTTTATTATTTTTATAAAGATATATATAAATTATTTTTTTTATACATACAATATGAATGTTATATCGAAGCTTATCAAAAGAAGATTAATTTGATATATTACATATGTAAAACTGATAAAAAATACAAAAGTTATTAGCTTTTAAAATATATATACAATTCAATAGTTATAATAAGGAATGATATTAAAATGCAATTAATACATGTAACATGATAATAAATAATCAACATATTTATTGTAATCTGAACCTAATTATTTTTTGTTTGGAATTAAATTAAAATATACCCAAGCCTAATAACCAAGCATGTAATTTTGCCACATATGATTCTGAAGCACCAGAAACAGCCGCGTTCTGAATTAATATATAGAGGAGGAAATATGATATTTTAAGGAATAATTGAATTTTCTAAATTAATAGTAGCTGTCTCAATTGTGGTGAAAATGAGATTTTACCTCTTGAAAAATCATTTGAAAAGAAAATCAATTTTCTAAAAGTTAGAAATCAATTTTTTTTAGTATCTAAAAGGAATTGGAAAAAGTCAAAAAAACTTGCCAAGAATACCACGTATTATTATTATTATCATTATTATTATTATTATTATTATTATTATTATTATTATTAAGAATACCACGTATTATTATTATTATTATTATTATTATTATTATTATTATTATTATTATTATTATTATTATTATTATTTTATTATTATTATTATTGGTATAGCTA